TGGGAGTTCTCAGTCCACATACTGCTGAAGCCTGCCTTGTAGGATTTTGAGCATAACCTTGCTAGTGTGTGGAATGAGTGCAGTTGTATGGTAGTTGGACCATTCTTTGGCAGTGCCCTTCTTTGGGATTGGGATGTTGACTGATCTTTTCCAAGCTTCTGGCCACTGCTGAGTTTTCCAAACTTGCTGGCATATTGAGTGTAGTCCCTTAACAGCATCATCTTTTAAGATTTTAAATAGTTTGACTGGAATGCCATCACCTCCACTGGCCTTGTTGTTTGCCTTGTTTTCTAAGGCCCACTTGACTTCACTCTCCAGGATGTCTGGCTCAGGGTCAGCAACCACACTATCTGGGTTGTCCGGGACATCCAAATCTTTCTGGTATAATTCCTCTGTGTATTCTTGCCACCTGTTTTTGATGTCTTCTGCTTCTGTTAGGTCCCTACTATTTTTGTCCTTTATCATGTCCATCTTTGCACAAAATGTTCCTTGGATATCTCCAATTTTCTTGAACAGATCCCTGGTTTTTCCCTTTCTCTTATTTTTCTCAATATTTTTGCACTTCATTTAAGAAGGCCCTCTTGTCTCTCCTTGCTATTCTCCTTGATATCTCCTTTGCATTTTCTTTCCCTTCTCTTCTCTGCTATTTGTAAGGCCTCGTTGGACAGCCACTTTGCTTTCCTGCATTTCCTTTTCTTTGGGATGTTTTTTGTTGCTGCCTCCTGTACAATGTTACAAGCCTCCATCCATAGTTCTTCAGGCACTCTGTCCACCAAATCTAGTACCTTAAATCTGTTCTTCACTTCTGCTGTGTATTCATAGGGGACTTGGTTTAGATTATACCTGACTAGCCCAGTGGTTTTTCCTACTTTCTAACTTCAGTTATGGTGAGTAGTCAGGAGCTAAGCAAAATAGTTTCTAGACAGAGTGGATTTTTATTTGTAGATTAAGCAAGAGGGATTGGTGACGCCTATTAGGATTGCGGCAGAGTTTTCCTAGGAACCCCTCTGTAGGAGTCTAGCTAGTTTACAAGAAGCCATGTATAAGACTAACTGCTTTTTATTATTCGTAATCTTTTGTGTCTCCAAGTGCACTTCTTCAGATGAGAAGAGTGACTGCATCTCAGGCAGGGGGGGCAGACTTTACAACTGTTGGAAACTAGACCTTGAAACAGGGAGTGATTATTTCTGTTGCAGTGGTGGTGATTGGCCTCTGACTGGTGACAAAAGTTCAGATGATTAAATTAGTACATATGATGACACAGGAAACCATTGTCTTTGAGAGTGTGTGTTGAAGCTTCTGGTGTATTCCTGCTCAATAGCTTCCCTTTGGAATCTCACTTTGCTTTGTTGTTGTTCAAGGGCTCTAGCTCTGTGATTAGAGACAGACTGTCTAGAAAGGGTGAAGTATTTGATTTTTTGCGTATTATAAGGAATACACGTAGAGTAGAGGTGATTGTCATGATCTGTTTTTCATTCATTACACCAGGTTTTTGAAGTACGATGCCTTCCAGATATGTTGGACTACTACTGCATAATGTGAAAGTTAGTTCAGTGCATTTAGAGCAAGGGTCTCCAAACTTTTGACCATGAGGGCCACACTGGATATTTTCAACAGGAACTGGAATGTGTGTGCATGCTCACATGCACTTGAGGGCCGAAGGAACAGGAATGTGTGTGCATGCCCACATGCATCCCCACCCACCTGCACACATGGATGCCCACATGCACACACCCCACAACCACCCCCTGCACATGTGCACACAAGCATACACGCCTACCCACCCACACATGCATAGAACGGACCAGACAAAACCATAAGGCGGGTGGAATGTGGCCTGCAGGCCATCGTTTGAAGACCCCTGATCTAGAGGATGTGAGATTTGGGAAAACTGATGCAGATATTTTGCATGTACAGCTACTAATGCTCTTGTTTGGTTAACTAGGACAACTGGAATGCTTCTGCAGAAGCTGTCCCAGCCTGTTTCTATGTGGACAACCGTATTCCTTTGAATGGCAGCCAGACCTGTTCATTTTACAGAAGCCATCCTCAGCTAAACTACGGATTCCTTTTCCCACCAAGTAAATCAGTTCCTTTCACATTTATAAGCAAATTTATTGGGAAGCACAGCAAAAGAATGGGAGTTTTTGCTGTAATAGAAAGTTTACATATTTTAAAAATGAATGAAAAAGCTTGTTTTATACTTAAATGATAAGTGTTAGCGATAATAAGTCTGCATAGAAAATGAATAATGGATTTTGATGAATTTTTTACAGCTTATGAATTAAATATGTTACATTTTATGATTGACAGATAGTTAAATAATAAAGCCCTTCAATGCATATTTACATTTTAAATTCATGTACAAGAGGTAGTAGAATTTAAATATAATACATTCACAGACGAGTCCACTGGGAATCGTACATGCCCATTAAAATGGTTAGATTGTTCCACAATGTGCACAAAAAGGGCAATTGGTTTCATCTTTATTGGCGGGGGTTAATTGATAAATTAAGTGTGATGCCATCTACAGATAGTGGTGCTTTTGGAAAATTCTGACATTTAAAAGTTGCTATTTTCTGTATCGGTTTCTAAAAGAAATCTGTATGTTGGCCTTTTAATAAACCCATATGCCCTTTCTCATAGGCATCTCCATATATGGTATGTTTAGGTCACTTCCTTCCTTTGTTCATATCAACGTTGGCACAGGTTCATCCCAGTTCCTATGGAACTTTGGATTCTGTTTTTCAGAGAGACATATACTCTATCACAGTGGTTTCCAACCTTGGGTCCCCAGATGTTCTTAGACTGCTGCTCCCAGAAATCCTTGCCAGCACAGCTAATGGTGAAGGCTTCTGGGAATTGCAGTCCAAGAACATCTGGGGACCCAAGGTTGGGAACTATTGCTCTATCATAATAAAGAACTCCTAACTGCATTGAAAGAGATCCTTAGTATTGTTAACCAGAAGCTGAGATATTCAGGACGCTTCTAAATGGGTAATTTGACAACATTGTATGTCCCAATAGATCTTTCTTCAAAGCTTGAAAACATAACTTTTTTGAGGTTAAAACTCCCTCAGATGCTGTATTTAAAAAAAGTCAAACTCCTGAACATCTCCAGCGGGACATGTGCTGTGTAATACAAAGGGGCTGCTGTTTGAGAAACATATGCCCAAATTTTGCAGAATGTGTTATCTCTTTGGAACTGAAGCAGTATGTTTAATATTCACTTTTAGTTGATTTCATCTCATTCAAATTTAATCTTTGAAATGTGACTAGTTACTTTTGTAATAAATGGTTTATACATGTTCCATTTCTAGATGGGATAAAAGATGAAAGAAACAGTAAATATGATGGATTTTTTTCAAGCAATATTGTACCAATGTATCCTGCTTTTCAAGGTAATGGTCCATTATTTCTTTCCCTTTTACAAAAAAGATGCAAATGAATAAATAATGCTGGCACTTAGGCTATGTCCACACTGGTGGTTTTCTCTGGCATTGGATGGACATTGTAGTGACATGTGTTGGAGAGTAAGTCACTGCAAACAACTAGTTACTTTCAATGAATTCCTTTCTCTACATTGAAAATGTAACTACATTACTTATATGTCTAAATGCTTACTTCTTAAAGACTACTGCCTGCTTCAGATGATGAACCTTTTGCCAGCATACACAACCCATTCCCTCCTTCCTTTCCGCAAGCTACGTTATTAGATAACAAAACAACCAAATTGATAATAGATTCCCATATTATCTGAAGTAGGACATTATTGTTATCGCTTCTGAAAAATTTGAAACCTAGTTGCTTCTGACACAGATCATAGTTTCATGCCCAGAACAAAATGGCAAATTGGTTACTTAAGAGACTTCCTCGTTTAATCATGTTTCTCATGAAGGGGCTGCATGTGTGCATAGAAGTTTCATTAATCCCTTGCCATATTAAAGATTGTTTGGATAACTCTACTTTGACTTTTCTGACTACTGAGCATGATTATACCAGTTAGGAATGGAATCCAAGTATGTCTTCCTGGAAAAACATGAACACTGTTTTGTCTTTCTTTTTCTCCAGATTAAACTGGAACATATTTGTAGAAAAATATTTACATGTAAAGAAGTAATGCAGTGATTTTTAAATGCAATCTTTGAAGGGATGGTTTTATGGCTATGAAATGTTTACTTGATGTAGATTGTATCTCTGGAGTCTTGTAGCTAAAAGGCCAGTCTAGGAAGGGTTCCATCTTTGGCATTCTGCTGCCCTCAGAGTTACATAATTGTTGCTGAGCTTATTTTCATATTTTTTAAAGCAGGAATGGCCAATCTCTGCAGGTCCTGGGAAGACACACACTCATTCCTGAATCTTGGAAATCTTGGAGGGCTGTACATACTCTTACTAACACCAACCCCACCCCGTTTCTACTGAAAAAGTCCTCTTGCACCCTCCAGTGGCCAATTTTTAAAAAAATTAAAACACCTCTGGGAGATGTGTGTGTGCTGGAGGTCTCAGGGTGCTGATGGTTGCATTTCAGCTACAAAGGGCTGCATTGGCCCATTACCCACCCCTATTTCAAAGGGATGCTGTAAACTTTGACCTTAACTGGGATCTTGGCCAGGGCAGTGTCTTCCAGTGAGGATGCACACATTTCTGTAATGGACCCAGAAATGATGTTGCCTCTGAAAGAGTACCAGGTCCATTCCAGAAATACACAAGAGTGTTGGTCCAAAGCAGTCATTATTACCTTGATATAACATGATTCTCAGGATACAAATCATGGGCAAGTTTAGACAAGGATTTCCTCCCAAGTGGCCTCAATCCATATACTCTGAGGCCAGCAGCAGGTCAGTGGTGGGACTCTTTGTAGGCCCTAAGTGTCCAGCTTGTAGCCTTCTTACTGCTCGATTTTAGCATGCAGCAGGTGCATTCATTCCATACAAATCTGTTTTGAAAAGAAGCAAGTCAGTTTCCAATGGTAATAGGGGAATATAAAAGGATACATTCTGATCCAGACCTTTTTCTGTGAAAAGGCACTGAATTTCCAGATTTTCTTTTAAATGTACATTTTGCTTCCAGCAATATGGAACTATTTCAGTGCTGTCCTACTGCCAACATACACTTCAGCAAGAAATGGTGTAAATGTAATCACTGGTCCCGTATTTGATCGTGACTACAATGGTGTGTACGATACTCTTGAGGAAATGAAAAGGTAGGTATATATCAATGTTAACTTGTTTTCTAGAACAGTATTAGATTTTAAATGACTTCCTAACCAAAGCTGAAAGCCAGTATTAAGCCACAACTAGTAGGCTCATTAAATCTGTGGGAACGTGGTGGATCAATGTCTATGTAAGTTCCACTGATTCAGTGGCATTCCTCTAGTTGCATCCCTGCAAAGGGATCAAAGCACTGCAGGATCGCTTTAATGCCTGCTTTTCCTTCCACTTGTTTTTGTTCTCCTCCTCAGCTTACGTCCGTGTATAAGACAATCTTCAATTTTCAGTATAAGGATTTTAAACAAAAGTATAGTCTTATACACAGAAAAATACAATATACTAAAATTGGATCGGCAATCTTCAGCTGTTCAGGTCCCATGCTTGCTCATCCCTGGACAGCTGCTTCTGTGACCCACAGCCAGAAACATTTTTCTTACAAAATTTGAGGGACTACTGAAAGAGCTGCTTTGTACTCTAAATAGCTGAAATTTTTTTAAAAAAATTAAAAATGGGAATTGGTGAATACGTGCTAGACAGCCTATGCGAAAGTAATGTAAACATCATTAAAATTGCCTCTGGATATATGACAGCAAATATTTGAGGAGTAGATAAAGCCATTATGAAAAGAAGATGAGAGCAATTTCACTTACTGGTCTAACTGAGAACCTGAAAAAATTACTTTGCTGAAGCCCAACTCCCAGCTGGCACGGTCCTAGGCTGAGGTATTCTGGGAATTGTAGCTAAAAAACAAATAACATTGTTCTTACTTGAAAATTTACCTTCCAAGCATGATGATGACCATGGTTTGAATATACATGCTGCATTCGTAAGTATTTGTTTTATTTTTTAATTTAATTTTATTTATATCCCGCCTATCTAATCGGTTAAGACCACTCTAGGTGGCTTACAACATAACAATATACAATAGGGGTATATATAAAAACGATTTTTACATAATAGAAGACATTTGAACAAAATACAAACAATGAGGAAGAGGAGAAAAAGGGGAGATCAGGAATTGTCTGGGGGGAAGGCCTGCCGAAACATCCAAGTTTTTAGTTGATTTTTAAATATACCCAGCGAGGGAGCCACACGAATCTCAGGGGGTAGATTATTCCAAAGGCGAGGAGCCACCGCCGAGACGGCCCGATTTCTTGTCTTTTCCTTCCGGGCCTCCCTCGGCGTTAGGCTCCTCAGCCTCACTTCCTGGCTCTCACGAGTGACACGGGTAGATTTTGGTGGGAGATAATCATCGTGGGGAAAAAAAATCTAATTCAAATGAATTTCCACAAATACAGGTATCGTTGTCCCCCAAGCACAGAAGGTGATGAAATTGTGCCTATGGCAATGGTGTTATTAGTGCACTCCTCTGTTAGGCATTTGTGCTACATATTTTTATAATGCTTTGGTATGGCTAACAATAGAGACTTCTTTACCAACATCATGGGACTTGGGAAAGCACCATAAATTTCAAACATGCACAGATACATAATATTTTTCATAAATACATAATATTATGCATTAATGTTCATTTATCATTTCATCTGCAATAATATTTACATTCGTTCACAGGTGACCTGTGTCTATCAGATTGCTCCTGATATTTCATATGTGGTTTTCAACACTGTCCACTTAGCTAACACTCTGAAAACTGCAATAGATTTCCTTCAAAATGAGCAAAGAAAATATTATAATAGACAGCCCACCTGCAGAAAAATGTTAATCCCTTGCCCAAGTCAGCTGATGTTCTCTTGGTTTTGTAACAGGAGATATCAAGAGATGTGACACACACATCTCCTGTACAACTCCTTTCAGGAAAGGACTTTAAATTATTTTAATGGGACAGCTTTTGTAGATTTATCTACCATGCTATTGCAGTATTTTGACCAAAATTCTTTTGGCTTTTTTATGCCAGCATAACTTCTAGTAATGAATTGCTACAAGTTATTTGACACAACTCCGGGAGGCAGTGGAAGATAGGAGGGCTTGGCGTGCTCTGGTCCATGGGGTCACAAAGAGTCAGACACGACTAAACGACTAAACAACAACAACAACAAAGTCAACATAAACATGGTGTTCTGTGCAGAGTTGCATGAAGAACACAGCAGATAAGTGTCTCTGGTAACCTTGTGACTTGTGGCTGTTCACTTCCAAAACCTATATTGCTTGTGTTATACTCACAGTCATAACTAATAGGTTTTTTCACTATAAAAAACAAGGGTTTTATAGTTTTAAATTATAAAACCTTATAAGATAAAATCTAAAATTTTGGTGTGTTTTTAACATTTCAGACTTGCAAAAGGTTCAGAAGTCCCAGTTCCAACTCACTACTTCATTATTTTGACAAGTTGCAAAAATGTTTCCCAGAGTCCTTTGCAATGTGAAGGATCCCTTGATGTTGTATCTTACATTGTACCTCACAAAGAAGACAATGATGAAAGCTGTGCAGTGAGTAATTCTGCCTTTATTCATATATAAAACAAGTACACAAGCGTATATCCAACCCAGGTGTATATGTAATATTTCCTCTCATGTTACGTAGTATTCATAGTTTTCTGTAGAGCAGACCTGGGCAAAGTGCGGCCTGAGGGCCACATATGGCCCGCGAGCTGCTCCTGTCCAGCCCGCGGACAGTTTTGAACATCAAAACCATTTATAGCTTTTTGTCTAAAGTTGCTAAGTTGCTTTTCTTTAACATACTGCAAAAAAACCTCTTTAGTATTTGTGAAGATTGACAAGGTTAAAATAAAAACAATCATAACATCACTGTTTCATTTTATTTTTAAGTAAAGTTGGTTCGGCCCCCAAACACAGTTCAGATTTTTCATGTGGCCCCCCTATAGAAATTAATTGCCCACCCCTGCTGTAGAGGTATGCTTGTTTGTATTTCTGGCCTGCAGTCCCTTGGGAGTTGTAGTCCAAAAAGACAAATATGGGCACTTCTCTATTAGCTGCAAGATGCAATTTTCTATTAGCTGCAAGATTCTAGTGCTTGCAGACATAAAAAGAAACAGGAAAGTTGCAATGGATTGTGAAAGCGTTGAAACAGGAGGCATGAACCTTCGGTGTTCTGCGTGGCTCTTCATAAAAGTCTTGCAAATATAAACCAGTATGAATTGTTTTTATAGTTTGTATTTATTTATTTATTATTTGAATTTATATCCCGCACCATCTGGCAACCAAGCCACTCTGGCCGGCTAACAACAATATAAGGGGTGGGGGGAATATTAAAAACACAATAAAAATACATTGATTCATGACAGGGAAATTAAAACAGATGGCAGTAAAGATAGTAAAAAGGGTGATGGAGTGGATGGCAAAAAGCATGGTAGAAAGGGAGGGCAAGATCCTAGTGCTCTGGGAAAGCCTGGCGGAAGAGCCAGCTCTTCAGTGCTCTTTTGAATCCATCCAACGAGGGTGCTAGGTGGATCTCAAGAGGCAGGTTGTTCCACAGGTTGGGGGTCAGCCATCAAGAAGGCCCAGTTTCTTGTTCTTTCCCTCCGGGCCTCCTTTGGGGTCAAGGCCCTCAATCACCCTGCCTGTGAAGAATGAATATTATGGACAGATCTGGTTGGAGCAGGCGTTCTAATAAGTACCTAGGTCATCATAACCTTGAAGCTGATGCGGAAATGAACCAGTAATCAATGAAGGGCAGCCAGAGTGGGGAAGATGTGCTGGAATTTCTTCACCCCAGTTATTAACCTGGTCACCAAGTTCTGGACCAGTTGAAGTCCCTGCATCAGTCTCAAGGGTAGCCCCACATAGGGAGCACTGCAGTAGTCTATTCTTGAGATTACGAGGGCATGAATCAGCATCATGAGTGCCCCCACATCTAGATAGGGACACAGCTGGGCAATCCTCCAAAGATGGAAATGGACTGCCCAGACCACAGATGCCACCTGGGTTTCCATGGTGATATCCGGGTTCAGGCAGTTGCCCAAGCTGTGAACCTCACTCTTTGTGGAAAGAGTCACCCCCCCCAAAGGAGAGGAAGTTTCCCAACCCACTGACACCAGGGCCGCCCACATGCAAGATTTCTGTCTTATCTGGATTCAACCTCAGTCTATTTGCCCTCATCCACAATTCATTATTTATTTCTATAGTAAAATTTTTATTTTATTTTGTTTAACCCAGAGTTAACACATTTCTGGTCTTGGGTTACACTATATGTCCTGTCACTATAGAAAGAAATATTATGTCATGGTTATTCATATTTGTCTCTCCTTCCCCAGCTGTGCTTTAGCCAATTCGTATATATTTTTCTTTCTCAAAGAGGGACCTAATGGCCTGCTTTTCCCCTGCCATTCATACCATTAGTGATTGTAACAGTAAAAAAACAAAACAACTCTCCATGCAGCTCTGAGCTAAGGTGGAACTACTAGCCCTACCCCCCATGGAAGGAGGAGCCACTTAGGCATTGCCCATTATCAGGATAATGGCAGAGTGCCAAACAACAGTTGACAGTCCCAAAGATAGCCATTCATTTTATGCAGGGCATCGGACATTGATTTGGATTGCAGCTCTTGCATGGAAAGAGATTATCTAATCCTCCCCACCCGCTACCACACAATCCACTCAACAAAGATCATCCTCAGAAACTGCTCTTAGCAATTCATTGGTAGGATTCTTCGAGCACTGGATAAATGTATACGTTCTAAATGTGAGGAAGGAGAATGGAGAAGAGCGCACTACCTTCATACATTCATTCCCATTGTTATTATCCTGTTCATGGAGGCTCTCACCATTTCTCAGTATCCTGGAAAATCATAACTTTGAAATGTTCTCTCATTCCCCCATGGTAGAAAGTGACTGCACCTTATGCACTGCCACCTTCCATATGCATGGTGGATGGATCAGGGTGGAGATGTTTTTGCTTCTCACAGGTAGAGCTTATTGAACTGCTGGATACCTGAAGAGAGCTAGTGTCTATTTTGTTTGGCTCCCCATGCTCTTTGAAATAGATGACTTATTTCCCAATCAATGATGAGAACCTTTCTGTTGGTTGATGCTTCTATAAAGGAAATCACATAAGTCAATTGCTGCTCATCAATTGATGATTGTGTTCACAGACACTCGCCCAATAGTGTAGCTGGTCAGATGCCCAGGAATGCAATTAGTGTCTTTTTAATGAATGGCAATTTGGCACTGATACTTACGGGATTTTTCGTTTATGGAAATATAAATTCTGGCCATTGGCTTTTTTGTATAGACCACTGAGTATATCATCCCACTAACACAGTACCTCTGTAGCAGACTTCTAAATTCTTGTTTCTTGCTTCCAACAGACCGGCAAACCTGAATCCTTGTGGGTTGAAGAGAGAATGCAGTTTCATACAGCAAGAGTCCGAGATGTAGAACTGCTTACAGGACTTAGCTTTTTCCATGATAGAAAACAGCCTGTAACTGATATTTTACAGTTAAAAACATACTTGCCAACTTTTGACCAGGCCTGATTTTTAATTATTGTACCCTGTTGGATTTATGTACATGAAACCAGAGACTATATTACAGAAAGAAATGCTTTTCAAACATGCTAAAAGGGTTCCTGAGTATGTTTGATCACAATGCAAGCTCGAAGGAATCTGTGCCACAATTGTATCTCAGGGACATAAATTATGAACCAAGTATAACAGAGGTGAGCTGTTTTTCTCAGCCTTATTATCCACATGAACACAGTAGATGGTTTGTATCTGGTTGTTAAAGCCAATATACCAGGATTACATGAACAGACGCACATGTGAATCAATATGTCTTTTGATCTATGTTACAATGCACCAGAGTTATTTTGTCTTTTTATACAGTGAAAAATGTTCACTTTTGTTAATCCACTAAGTGGCATGTATATTTCAGAAAATTACAAATAATATAAAGACTGTATAAAATATTGCCATGTTTGGATGTTTTTTTCTATTCTGTACTGGATGTTTAATAAATTCAATTTAATTTATGGTGTATTTCTTTCTATGTATTTAAAATAACAGAATATGTAAATTATAGCATCCTGGATATTTAAATACTCTCTGAGGGTTTCTAAAAAGCTGTAATCAGAAGGCTTCTTTTTGTTTTATTTTGATTTGTTGATGACACACCTGTAGACTCAGAGAGACAACCTTCCTTTAAGTTCTTGTGGCTACATATACAGCTATAATACTTTCCGAAGACCTCACCTGGTGTAATGAAGCTGATTCTTTGATCAGAGTAGTTCAGGACCATTCTGTTACATAACAGAGATAATGCACATATAAGTGAACAAACAGTAATTATTATTCAGATAAAGCAAATCAACATTCTACAAAACAATTCTAAAAATGAGAAACAGCTCAAACAAATAACTATAACTTTTAAACATGGTCTTAGATCAGCACCAGATTTGGCACACTAGGAGCAGACCGTCTGTTGTTGCTCTGTGCAAAATTCGATGACATTTGGTCAAATAGTTTGAGAGTTAAGATTTTTTAAGTATAGATGTGATTTATCCCTCAGTTCAAATGTAGGCTACCGTTTTTGGCAGGAGATGAGAAACAGATTGTATGTAGACTATCCCTGGTGTGCTACATCACTTATAAAAACATAACTTGTTGTAAAAAAGCCATAACAATTGCTTTGGGCGAAAAGTCAATATCTCATGAACAATGGAATCAGGTTCTAGGATTTTTCTGTTGCTTGGTGCCTCTGTGAATGGTAGCAAGCACAAGAGGGGATCCTGTTCACCATTTTGACTGGTGACATTGGTATCATCAACATTCAGGTTGGCCTTTGCTATGTAAATTTTGGCATCCCTTTTCCTGTAGGCATTTGTGAAGCAAAGTCAGGTAATTTCCTGGTGTTTTGAATTGTGGGCACAGAAATACAGTATCCCATATTCATAATCCAGAGGGTTGTATAGCAGATGTATATCTCAGTATAAGCTTTTCCTATCACATGCCTCCTGCTGGTCTCTAACCATTCACAGTAATATATTTGCCTATAATGTGTTATGTATTCCATACATTGGAGTGCATAATTGTAGTCATACTGAGGTTTTTGGACTTCCATAATCTTGCACCAATGACTCTGCTGTGCAGGATTGATGGAACTGCAAGTGAAAAAGCATCTGGAGGGCCACAGTTGCCCAGTCCACACACCCCTTCTGATGCTCCACCAGAATATTCATTGGTACACACTATCTTGAATATACATGTGCTTGATCTGCAAGTCTTAGGAATTTGCCTGTACATCCTGTGACTGGATTCCAAGTGAGTACAATTAAAACACATTTGTATAAAATCAAAACACATCAAGGCTTTCTCCTACAAAGTGCAGATGAAAGGCTTCATCTGTTTTCCTTCTCATCCGTGTGAGTTTTTTAAATTCATACATGCACCCATCTGAACTGATGCTGCCATGTCTGTAGTTTGTATATGAACCCATTGTATGGCATGCATCCTGGTAAGCAGCCCTGAATTGTATTTGAAGCTATGTACGAGTGTCTATTCATGAAGAGCAGTTTCTCAATTTAGAAATCCTTGGACAATGTGAGTGTGGGACTGAGGGTGGAAAGTCTGCTGTTTTCCTCCATCCAGTGATAACCAGCATCAAGGTGATGCCAATGTTAGATCCTGCAGTATTTCTGACAAGTAAAAGTTGCACTTTTTTGTTTGTAACTGTGGAATAAGCAAAACATTAATTCTATAATCAGAAAATAAATATAAATAAACATGTTCTCATTGCTGATTACATTGGAAGACCAAAAGACCACTGGAAACAAATGAAACCAGTGCTTCTATGCTCTACGCGCATAGTTCTTTATAGAGCAGAGGTCCCCAACCCCCAGTCCGCGGCTCTGTGCTGGTCCATGGCCTGAGATGGACTGGGACGCAGAGACAGACCTACCCCCTGTTACATGCAGCACTGATGTTACCTGTCTGTCATGGGTTTGGAGGGAAAGTTCCATCCTATGGGGAGTGGAAGGCGGGACATCAGGAGGAGGGGCTGTACTGTATAAATATGTGATGCGTGTGTGGAGAAGCTAAGCAGACGAAGCAGCAGCTGGGAAGAAGAAGCTGTTGTGGGAGTCTGTGTGTCAGACAGGGTACTACTGTGTGTCAGAGTACCAACCTGATAGGTTCAGGTGTCTGTTGGTTAGCCAGAACTGATAGGTTCAGGGTCTGGGCTTTAAGTTAAGGTTCTGGGTGAACCAAACTGTATGCTTGTATGAGTGAAGTAAGCCACGTTACTTTATCCTATTCACCTGATTGTTTATTTTTCCCTGTGTGTATTTAAAATAAACCTTATTCTTTTTATTGTTTAAAAATCCATCCCTGGTCTGTGTGACTTATTATAGGGAATGGTTGGTGGCAGCTTAGTGTAACTGTGTGACATATCCCAGTAGGTCTGGGTTTGTCACACCCCCCCCACCACACGCACTCATCCCTGCACAGTTGTTTTGTGCTGCACGCACTAGCGCCTGCACAAGCACCCCCACCGCTTTGTGCATCCGTATGAGTACCCTCTTGCATGTGCAAGAGAGAGAGAGAGTGTGTGCACTCCATCGCATGAGCACAGGGGTGCCCCATCTTCCCCAGCCAGTCCACGGGGTTAAAAAGGTTGGGGACCCCTGTTATAGAGTACACAACTTCAGAAGATAAGTGATATCATAAAACATATGAGACTGTTTAAGGAACACACATAGTTCCTTTGTAGGATGCCTTGCTGGACTTTAAACACAGGATAGGAGAAGATTTGTTACTGAAAATCTTAGATTTCATTTTGCCTTTCAAACTTGACCCCATGAACCTTAGAAAGGCATACGTCTGCCCTGTTAACTGGAGAAAGGCCCGACCTAACTTGTTCTTTTGCCCTTTTTTCAGTTGTTTAAAACTAATTCTCTGGTTGGTAGTATATCATAAGATGCACATCCATGTAATCTTATGGTGCTGATGGTACTGTACCTATAAATAGAAAAATCACACACATTCTGAATTTAAGGAGTTACAAATGTGAGTGACTACTGGGTACAGGTTTGGGGTGGGGGTTCAGCTCGAATCAGTTAAAAAGAGAATTACTAAAAAATGATTTATTCTGGTTCACCAGTTATGAATGTTACAAATGTAAAGGACATTTACAACCTTCTCTGGCTTATGCTTTTATCCAAAATATAAACTTGCCAGAAGGAAGGAAAGAAAGTGAACCAATTTATCTTGCATGATATATTTTCAGTTTTGTATAAATTCTATTGCAGTCATAATGCCTACTTCCTCCTGGTCCGCCGTCTCAGACAGAGGCTATTTGAAAACCCAAGATGGGTAATACCTCTATCAAACCACTAAAATATTAAATACAGATGAACTTTTGAACTGAGCAGGATCCTTCATCAGGATGGGCATTGAGTGAGGGACAGGGGACATAATATCCAGAAATCATCATCCACAAATGCTGCAGCATCAGGCTGGGAGCTTAACATTTCAAGACAGAGGCTGCAGTTTGAGGTAACTGGTTTACCTTCAGGATGAGCTGTCTTTCCCTGTTACTGTAGATGGAGGTTTGCTAATTACCTGGTACATTTCCATTGCCCTGTACCAGTGCAAATAGCTTATATTTGGATGGAAGCAGAAGCATTAGAGATGTGGCAATTCTCTTATCAGAAGAACCAGAATTTAAACTGAATTGATGCACTTCAGAAGTCATACATCGGAACCCAATTTAGAGTATTTCCCAGAGTTAAAGGAGTCCCCATATGGAGCAGCCCTTCTTAAGAGATGGTAGCCCGAGCAGCTACCAATGATGGAAAACACCATTCCAAGTGGATTTGGGGATTTCAGCTTCCACGTTTCCCTAGCCCTCATGACACGTGGAACCAAAATGCTCATTTTTTTTCCAAGCTCTTTATTTAGGGGAAATGAAGTGTGGTATGTATAGCAGCAGATCTCTTGTCCAGAAATTCTGAGGTGCTGTTTAGATGAAACCTTAGCAGTTTGGGGGGAAAAATTATGCCTTCAGGGGCACACTGCCAAATTGCCTCATTTCGAGGTTACCACACTTGACACACTCCATACTCAGTACGACCCACCCAGTCTTCCCTCATGCATGTGTCTGAGCAGTGAAAGACTGCCCTCAAGGCCTTCAGATCAAGGACATTCTGAAGAATGTTCCCTCCTAAATTCAGAGTGTGGTGACATTAATTACCGTAAATATCAAACTGCAGCGTGACCACCGCATTTTATTCTCTAAGAGATCCATTATGAATTCTTGGAGTTGTAGTCCAAAGAATGATCTGTGTATCTCAAGTCTTTAAAAAAAAGTTTCTGTTTTTTTCTCTCCTGAGAGCATGGGGAGAATAGAATAGAATAGAATAGAATAGAATAGAATTGTTTATTGACAGTCCTTAGACCAGTTACATATGTATAAAACCTTATAATTTCTAACTTTCAATATAGCTGGGAGCTACTATCTAGTTGCAGTTTGGCTTCCGCAATCAAAATATTGCCGCACAGAATTTGGCAACTTGACAGGTGATCTGTGTATCAACAGGCGAGAGAAGGAACTAGAGCCTGTTTGCCTCTGAACGTCCTGCAATTCTTTCCATTAGGGGGGGGCAATAGTCTCTTTGTGTGCCACGTCATACAATGCGCAGGGGGAAAACATATGCTCTACAGTTAGCGTACTGATATCACAAAGCCCACACCTCCTAATGACCCCACCCAGTGGCCTCATATAAATATTAACACAATTGGGGAGATGATTGAGCCCTGCAGAAACCCACAATTGAGACTCCATGGGGCCGAAACACTCTCCCCAAGCTGTACTTTCTGAGGATGGTCCTCCAAGAAGGATCAGAGCCAGGCAATTCCCAACTTGGAGAATTGGGAATTCTCCAATTCCCAACTCAGAGAGCCTCCCCAGGACGATACTGTGGTTGATGGTATTGAAGGCAGCATTTTGTCCCCGTCGGCCTTCCTCATCAGGTCAT